AGGCAGCACCCAGGAGGAAGCGCTCCCTCTTATTTTCCTGATGGCTCCTCAGCTATCCCCAAAATGTGAAATGAAGGTGAATTGTCCCAAATATAAAACTTTTTGAGAAGCATAATTTCAAAGCTGAGGCTCTAGGCTACTCCAGTTCCAGCCTCATGTGGTTAAGGGTGGGACAATGCCCACTTTTCCTGGGTACAAAACAAAAATAATAGAGACTGTGAGAAGACTGTGTGTCACCTTGGAATCTGAGTGGTTGCCAAAGCCCAAGGACCTGAAACCTCTGAAAGACCTGGACAGTCTGCTTCCCCAGAACCTTTAACTCAGGGAGGCCCAGATGAGGTGGACTGACCTCATTCCTGGTGAAGGCCACCACCTGCTCACCCTTCCTCAGCTCTTCACAATTCCTTCCCTTTTCATTTCCCAGATAATGGAAACCTCTGTGAGTCCAAATCTAGACTAGCTGTCCCACTGGCTCTGGCTATGATTCTGGTGAGAGGCCCCGAGTGACCCCTCTCTGCTCTGTCCTCCATCCTGCAGCAGTCACTCTTGAGAGCATCTAGCATCTTCTGCCTTTCAGAGTGAGAGCCTTTCCCCGCCTCTGCCAGGTCTGTCTCCCCCTTCCTGTCTCCTCTCTCTCTTCTCCTGGTCCAACCTCATCCTCTTACTCATCTCTCTGCCTCTGTCCTTCTTCACCTTTGTTCTTGCTCCTGTGTAGCAACCTTTGGAGTAGGCCCAGGCTCTCCCTCTGGGAACTAGAGGAGAAAACACCCCAAGGCTTCTACTCACACCTGGTGAGGGACCCTGGTCACTCAGCCCCGACCTCACAGCCTGATTCAGCTTCCCTCTCCACCTGAATTTTTGTTTACCAGCAGAAATGGGGATCCACGCAGTAATAGCATAGCAGTTTACAGTTCACACACATGGTCCATTAGCTTTGAAATTGTGATTCTCAAAAAGTTTTATATTTGGGAAGATTTACCTTCGTTTCACATGTTGAGCATAAAGTGGGACTTTATTGATTTTGAATAAAATCCAGCATCTTTTTCCTATATTTCAAATTCATATAAAATACAACCACACTATACCTTCCGAGAAAAATCTGCTGTGCCCTCAACTTCCTCTTTGGTTGGATCAAATTATCCAGGTCAGTCTGGTAGCTGGGGCAGTTTCCACCCTGGACAAGAAGCATCCTGGCAGCTCAGATTCCTCCCTCTTCTGGAATAGTATCTACTAGGACACTGTTGTAGTACAAGACTAAGATCCCTTCCCCTCTCCCCCATGATTTTGCTCCCTGAATTCTATCCTGACCTCTTCCTTTTCCCTTGCCCTCAAAAAAAACCTTAATTTACCACCTTCAGAGGCTTCCTCAGTCATTAGTCCAGAAATGGGCAAGTGCGTGCATATTTGAGGCTTCCCAGGTGGCAAGGGTAATGGGTGAAGCTGGCAATGATGAGAATAACCACCAGGGGGAGCCTGTGCCTAAGAAGAGACTGAGTGGGGCCCTGGGGAGCCATGGTGAGGATTTGTCTTCCGCTTTTTCCAGGGTAGTGTGGGTGCCAGGCATTCCAGCCTCAGGTGGCTCCCTATGGAGCTGGGAGTCTACAGCTGCCTCCTCCCCACTGTCTGACTCCTTCTTTTTTCCCTGACCATGCAGGGAAAGTGTGGCTGGATCAGGGTATGGGAGGAAAACTGAGTGGTTTGGATACTGCCTACTCTGGCCACCAATTTCTTACAGGCCACATGCAGAGAAAGGGGTGGGCTTTGATCTCTGAACTTGGCAGGCTGGAGAAGACTTGGGTTGCTGTAGTCCTGTGTTCCAGTCACTGGGTGGCACAGAAGCTTTGGACTGTGTCTAAACAGTGAACCCCCTGGTGAGGCAAGGGACAAGTGGGCGGGCAGTAGGGAGATGAAAAAGGGAGGACTGGGCTCCATGGCAGTATGTGCAGGTAGAGGAACCTCAAGATTTGCTTCCTCTCCTTTGCCCAGACTGCACTCTGGTCTTGTTTAACTTAGTTTCACCTTCAAGTTTTCCAGAGACTACAGCCAAGCCACCTTGAGAGAGCTCCAGAGATGAGGCACACCTGTGGAAATGACTACTCACTGGCCTAGGAGCCTCCTCTTCACCTCTCCAGGGGCCTCAGGCCTTCCTACCACCTCCTGCCCAGGGACCTTGTTGTTGTTGTTTAGTCACTAAGTCAAGTTTGACTCTACTCTTTTGTGCTCCCATGGATTTAGCCCGCCAGGCTCCTCTGTCCATGGGATTCTCCAGGCAAGAATACTGGAGTGGGTTGCCATTTCCTTCTCTAGGGCATCTTCTCGACCCAGGGATTGAACCCATGTCTCCTGCTTGGCAGGGGGATTCTTAACTACTGAGCCACCTGTTTAAAACCTTCAGCCCCAGAATTTCCCCCTTTACCCGGGCACCCAAGATGAAGGACCTCAGCTCCTAAATCCCCCATTTCCCCATGTCCCAATATCCCTATCTAAGGACTCTACTTTTTAAAAAAAATTTTGACTGCGCTGGGTCTTAGTTACAGCACATGGGATCTTCTATCTTACTTGTGGCATGTGGGATCTTTAGTTGTGGCATGTGAAGTGTTGCAGCTTGTGAGATCCAGTTCCCTGATCAGGGATTGAATCCAGGCCCCCTGTATTGGGAGTGTGGAGACCCAGTCACTGGTCCACCAGGGAAGTCCCCTCTCTCCACTCACCTACCTGTAGCCCTGTGACTCAGGGGCCAACTTTCTGATGGTCCTCTTGCACACTCCACCAGAACCCAGTCACACAATATTTGCATTCCTGAACTGTTCTCCAAAGTCCTGAGACAAGGTTGGGGGTTGCTTCACCCCATTCATTGGAGCTGGGGCATGAGCAAGGAAAAGAGCAGTCAAATAGCAAGTCTTTAAGAGCAGGTGGAAGCTCCCATTTAAGCCCAGCTGCTCCCCTCAGAGCTGCCAGGCTGGGTGGCTCCCCTGCTTGTGTGTGTACTAAATGCTAAGTCGCTTCCGTTGTGTCTCACTCTTTGCACTCCTATGGGCTGTAGCCTCCAGGTTCCTCTGTCCATGGGGATTCTCCTGGCAAGAATGCTGGAGTGGGTTACCATGCCCTCCTCCAGAGGATCTTTCTGACCCAGGGATTGAACCTGCATCTGCTGCATTGGCAGGCGGATTCTTTAACACTGAGCTACTGCAGTTACTAGCTGAGCGCAAAGCCAAGTGGCAGTCCTTACCTTGGGCCCAAGCCATGGACAAGGGATGCCTGGGGAGTCTGGGATAATGCTAAGTGGCAGCACCCAGAGTCCCACCCTAAGCCCAGAACCCAGCTGAGGAGTCCCTTGGGTAGCAGCAGGTAGAGGGCCAAGGCCTCTTCAAAGGGGGTCCTGCTGACTAAATCCAGAGGCTCAGAAATCTCTGCTGGAGATGCTCTTGTTTCTTGGTTTAGGCAGTCAGCCTCCAAGCAACCCTGCTCCGGTGACTTTTGTTACTAAGCCAGAGGTCTCCGCAGATAGCTCTCCTGTTTGTGGTCAACTTTCCCCTAACCAGTGGCTGCTCCAGGAATCCTAGGGAGGACAAGCATGGCCCCAGAGCCTAGCACAATTCCTACTTAGGAACAGAAGGGTCTTGGGGAAAGGAAGTGTGAACCTTGGCAAATCCCCCTCCTCACAACAGGCTAGAGGAAGAATAAGCCAGGAATGAGAAGTGCATTCAAGCCCAAGACAGCATCAGCTGTAGGGCTATACAGTGAGTAAATGAGTGAGTGAGTGAGTGAAGTCGCTCAGTCGTGTCTGACTCTTTGTGTCCGACTGTAGGGCTATACAGTAAGATGGTTCAAATCTTAGAACTCCTACTTTCTAGTTGCCTGACCTGGTCAAGTATTCTTTCTAAATCTCTTTCCTCACCCATAAAATGGGGATTAGTACTTTCCTGATGGGGTTATTAGAAACATTATAAAAGACAGACTATTTATAAAGGCTAGCAGAATACTCATAAATGTTAATTATTAATATTTTTATTATCAGAAGTGGCCACTTTAGTCAACAGTTCAGATTCAACCATTCCCTTTATGACCAACTCTATGAGGTCCTTAGCTGTTCAAACACACAAACTGTATGCATTTCTGGAGTGTTTTCCAACACCAACCATCAGTACTCTGTGGACGTCAACTGGGTGTTCTGCAAGTCAACTCAGTTCTGATACTAACTACATGGAGTTAGCATAGGCCCCACAGGTTAAGGGCTCAATTCCACAAGACCACCTTCACTTCCAATACCAGTCACAAGTCACTGATACTTCTGACTGGCTGGCTATAAATTTCGAGATCCCATATTATAAATAGGGCTTCCCTGGTGGCTCAGCTGGTAAAGAATCCACCTGCAATGTGGGAGACCTGGGTTTGATCCCTGGGTTGGGAAGATCCCCTGGAGAAGGGAAAGGCTACCCTCTCCAGTATTCTGGCCTGGAGAATTCCATGGACTATTCCATGGGGTCGCAGAGTCGGACAGGGCTGAGCAACTTTTACTTTCACTTTCATGCTATAAATTGGTTTGACAATTTGCTAGAATGGTAACAAGACCCAGGAAAATACTTATGTTTACAGGTTTATTAAAGGATACAACTGCCAGATAGAAGAGATGCACTGGGCAAAGAATTGTATGGGGGATGTGCATGCGGCTTCCATGCCCTCTCTGGGTGCATCACTGTTCCAGCACCTTAATGAGTTCACCAAGCCAGTTCATCAAATTTCCCTGTTCAGGAGTTTTTATAGAGCTTAATCTCTAGTCCCATTCCCCTCCCAGGAGGCTGAGGGTGGGCTGAAACTTTCAACCCTTTCACCACTTGGTCTTTCTGCTGACCACCCCTTATCCTGATGCTAGGTGTCCTCACTTTTAGTAGCAGTATAAGTTTACCATATTAGTATAAATGCAGGTTTGATATAAAGGGGTTTGTTATAACAAAGACACTTCTTTCACACATGTCACTCAGGAAATTCTATGAGTTTTAGAAGCTTTCAAACCAAAGATGTTTATTATACCATTTTATGTGTATGTATATAACATATACATATATATATATATATAAACTGCTCAGAAGAGAGGAGTATTGCACACACAGGTCCCACTCTGGCTCCTCCAACTCCTAGGCACCTTTCCCTGATCACTGTGTCCCAGAGACAATTTTCAGCCTGTGTCAGTCACATAGAGACCCTGTCCAGATGGTGCCCAGGCCTCTAGGCCTGGGTGGTCTGATGCCTGGAGGGCTGACACCCGAGGTGGGGTGGGGGGTGGAGTGCCTGGGTCCCACAGAATGTCCTCATATAAGCTTAGAACTGGGCCAGAGGCTCGTCCTTGAGTCCCAGTCTGCTTCAGCAGGGCTCTGAGCAAGCCCACAGTGAGAGGGGGCTCTGCCCCAGGCTCAGGGAATGGGGCAGGGGGCTCCAACTCATCTGGGAGGTGTGTCCGCAGTAGAAGCAGGAGTTCAGCTGGAGCTAGGTCTGGTGGGCACAGGCGGCAAAGCAGGGGGAGGTGAGCATCAAGCCGGCGATGCCGGGCAAATTCGGCCAAGAGCAGTTTGAAGATCTCGCTTCGAAGCAGGGGGCTGGAGGGGCTGAGGGCCAGGCCAGCCTCTAAAGCCCGCTCCCACTGTTCCTTTTGCACCAGCTGCCCCACAGCTTGGAGCACAGCTTTGGGCCGGCCACTGCCCAAGAGTAGGTCTAGCTCCAGTGCTTCAGGCCTAGTCCCCTCCTCGCCCAGTACTGCCAGGGCTCGGCGATACAGAGGCAGCCCTGGGCCTCCTGCACCCCAGCCAGGCCCCCCCTGTTGCTGGGCCAGCTCCACAAAGGGTGGCAGCCATTGTGGCTCCAGCCGGCAGAGGCACTGGCACAGGAGTTCAAAGGGGGGCAGTATGCCATTGGGTGGTTCTTTTCCAGCTGCTGTAACTCCCAGTACCTTCTTCCACACATCTGGGGGAGCTTGGGACCTCAGATGGCCATTGCCATCTGGCTGGAGCTGCAGGACCCTGAGGATGGCACCCCAGGCTGCTGTAGGGAGGGCTTGGAAAATGGTGTTGAGCTGGGCCAGCTGGTCTCCCATCAACTCAGTCCTCAGCAGCCGTGCCACTTCGTGCTCTGCCAGCTCAGTCCAGCCGGCCTCCTCCTCATCCCCAGCCACTAGCTGGGCTTTGAGCTGTTCTAAGCCCCGGTAATCCCGAAGCTCGGCCCTCAGTGTGGCCAACAGTGCTGATGGGGACACATGGCCCTGGAGGATGGATGCCAGGGCCTGAGGTGCCCGGAATGTGCTGTTTTGTCGCAGTTCCTCTGGGGTGAGCTGGGCACCCCGCAGGCTCCGTCGCTGGTAGTACTTGCTGGCCTCCTCAAACACCATATCTTCAGCTGAAGGCAGCTCAAGGCTTTGTGGGGTTTTCCAGCCTACTTGAAACAGACCCACAGCTGAAAGCAAACGAAGACCCCCTCGAGTCTCCAGCTCTTCCTGATCTTCCATACCAGGGGCGGGGGGTTCCAGCAGATGTACTCGGTCTGTACTCAGGATCTTCCTCTCCAGCAGCTGCCCACTGCTCATGTCCAGCAGTTCCAATGTGGAGCCCAGAACACAGGCCAGAGTGCCATGAAATGTGCCCAGTGCTGCAGACCCTGCCAGGCTGGCAGGTGCCTCCTGCAGGGTGCCAACAGTCCGGGAGCCACCGTGGGGCTGTACCAGGCTTACGGTGCCCCTGAAGTCAAGCCACATCAGGCCCTGGGGAGTTGGGGCCCAGGTATGCACAGTCAATGGCTCCCTGGGGGACAGCAGTCCAGGAAGGCCTCGGAGCAGTGTCCTGAAGTCCCATGTGTCCCCTCTTCCAGGATTCAGGCTTTTACCGTGAGAGAGGCCAAGACATGGGGCGGCCACCACTACCTTGCCCTTGCTTGGGCTCCAGATGAGCAGAATATGACCCAAGCCAGGCCAGGTGGTGGCAGTGGGCACCAGGAAGAGGTCCTTGCGGGAGGTCAGCAGCCCGAAAGCGGGGCAGTGGTGCAGCAGTATGTGTGTGCTGCCCAGGTTGGTGCCGGCCTCCCCACTGGGCTCGAGGGTCCTGACGCACACACGGTGGCTGAAAGCCACTGCGGGAGGCCCTAACTGGCTCTCAGCGCCGGCCAGCCGCTCCTCGCACCACACCAGGCGGCCTCGGGGCGCCGCCACGGCCACAACACGGGCTCCACCTCCAGGACACAGCTCGGTGCTCTGCAGCAGCCGCCAGCCGGGCCCCACCCCCGAGCCCCACACCTCTACTAGGCCACTCTCCCACACTAGGACTAGCGCCGATCGCGCCGGCCACGGCAGAAGGAAGGCGTCTAGAGGTGAGGGCTGGCCAGGCGGCCAGGCACTTTCCAGCTCCGCGCCGGGCCCACGCACCGCGACCAGCAGTTGCGGGGCTGGTGATCCCGGAGGTCGCAGCAATAGTAGGTGGCGGCCGTCTGGGCTGCAGCGAACTCGGACGGCTGGGTCCCCGGCTAGCAACTCCCGGAGCCGGGCCGCGCCGCTGAAGTTGCTCAGATCTGAGAGCAAGCGCAGAGTCCCTGCACGCTTCATGGTGCCACCCGCGCCGGAGCACGCCTATGCCCGCCGCACCGTAGTGCAAGGCCCGTCTCTCAGTCCCGGGTTCCCGCGGGAAGTCGAGGATGGGGTTGAGACTTCCGTCCCGGGTCGACTGGGCGAGCCAGGGCCGGGTTAAGACTCAGCCCCGCCCCGCCCCGCCCCTCACGGCTAGCTCTAGACCAGCGCCTGTTTTACGCCCTGCCGGCATAACACCGCCCATCAAGGGGGTGGGGGCGGCTACAGGGGCATGGCTGTGGGAGGAGCCGCGAGAGCACCCAATGGTCTCAGAGCCTCCGACCTCGCCAACCCTGGGGACGCTTTCAGAGGCTGGCTGCTTCAGGCACCAGGAAGTGCCCAGAGTCTGACTAAAGAATCCAGATTCCAGCCCTTTCAGTATCCAACTCCTAACGCTTCCCTTCCCTCCAAGCCACGCTCTCTCATTCCAATTTAGTCATGAAATTTTTTATTAAGCACCTACTAAGTGCCTGGCTTTGGGGAGACAAATCTGAACAAAAGAAAACCTCAGCTTCACGGAATGACAATCTAGTGGAAAAAACAATAGCTAGTACTTTCTTAGCACGTACTGTGACTCCCACCCCCTTTTAAAGATGAGGGAAATGGGGGGAAAAAAATGAGGGAAATTAAGCACAGAGAGATAAGGTACATTGACCAAGATCACACACCTATTAAGCAGTAGAGATAGAGGTAGGATTTCAACCACATGCAATCTGGGTCTAGGGTCATTGCACCAAACCATTTTATCAACAACCCATCCAAACTAACATTGTGCTAGAAAACAAAATTAAAACGTACTTTAATGGTACTGAGTCTGTGTGTAATCTCTTCAGCACCTACAAATTGACATGCAAGAGTTCTCTCCACCCCAGATTGCCTTCTCAGATGCTGTAGTATTCTTCTGTCCTCCAAGTCCAGTCCATGAGCCTTTCATGAGCCTTTCCCCTCCCTCCCTTTCTGCACAACTTTCCTGAGAATTGCATCCATATCTGTTTCATCAGCCTCATTTTGTCCTCTTGCTCTCAGTATGGAGAAGGAAATGGCAACCCACTCCAGTATTCTTGCCTAGAGAATCCTGTGGACAGAGGAGCCTGGTGGGCTGCCATCTATGGGGTGGCAGAGAGTCGGAAACGACTGAAGCGACTTAGCAGCAGTAGCAGCTCTCAACATAGAAACACTCGCCAGTTTGTCCTGTTTTGGAAGCCACTCTTTCATTCTTATTTCCCCCAACTGTCACCCCTATTTCTCTCCCTTCACAGTCAAGTTTCTTGCAGATTTAGCATTTGTTGTCTCTACTTTCTCTCTTTCCATTCATTTCTCAAACCACTACTTATCAGAAGCAGATTTTCCTGAGGTCTCCAAGGTATTTTAATTTCCTTTTCTCTTTGAGACATATGACAACTTCCTTACTGAAAGTCTCTCCTGTAGTTTCCACAGCATTTTCTTCCCCTCTAATTTTCCTCCTTTTTAGATAGTGCTATATCCAGAACTTTGTTATTGGTTCCTTTTTCTCCACCATCCTTTAAATGCTGGTTTAAAGTTCCGTTTGGGGCCCTTTTCTCTATGCCCCCACCCCGCATTATTATTATTATTTTTTAACCCTCTTCCTAGACCACTTCTTTCCTTCTTGTGGCTTGAACCATTACCACTAGGACAATGGCTCCAAAATATTTATCTACAGCCAAGATATCTCTGCAGAATTCCAACAGAAGATATCCAAACGTCTACTAAATACTTTTGCCTGAATATTTAATAGACATTTCCTAAACATCATCTTCCTCCCAAAATTTGCCGATTTCAGAATTTGCCATATTTAAAGAAACTGCTAATTCAACTTGTATCCAGTAGACTCCTGATACAGGTTCCTTTTGCTAATTTCTTTCTCGCGGTGCATTTCGGGAATCGTAGTCTTTGTGATGCTTGCTGGGAATCGTGGTCCGAGCCAGCCTCAGGCAGCGGGCGCCGGCGAACCTATCAGCGGCAGGCTTTAGGACCCAGCGGGACACGACGGGCTCGGAGGAAGGGTCGGGGGAGGTCGGGAGCGCGTCCGTGAGTCCGGAGCAGCGGCGGTATCGGTGGCGTCGGGGGCGAGTGGACCCGGGAGCGGCGCGGGTGGTGGAGGAGGAGCCAGGGGCTTGGTAAGCGTTGCCGGCCCGGGCAGGTTTCCGAACCTGGCCAACCTCTGCGGGTCCTGCCATACTAGGCCTTGGCCCTGAAGCGGCCCTGGGGGCGGGGCCTGCGCTCGCCGGGGGGACTGCGCAGGGAGAGGGAGGGAGGCAGGGCAGCTGCTGAGGCGGGCGGAGGCTGCGTGAGGCGGGGAGGGTGGGCCCCGAACGGCGGAGCGGAGCGAGAAGCCGAGCGCTCCTCCGGCAGCCGGTCCCTCTAACTCTCCAGTGCCGCTTCGGGTCCCTGGGGGGCTCTCCTGGCAGCCGAGGCGCTGACCTTTGACCCCGGCACGAGTCTGACCCGGATTCCTCAGGCTACCTTGAGAGCTTTTCTCCCAGGTTGTTCCCACCAGAGTGGTGTTCACCCCAACCGAGTGGCGTTCACCCCATCCGAGTGTCGTTCACCCCATCCTGGCCCTGAGGTGAGGGCGCGGAGTAAGACCCCGGAGAAGGGCTAGAGGAAGCCCTGTGTGCTGGAGTGTTCAGGTGTCCCGGAAGGGCTCCATCCTGTCCTCCTTTACAGTCTCCGCCGTCGAGCTTCAGCCCACCCTTCACACAAAGCTACCATGTTTTCTCTCGCTAATTAGGTGTGAACGGGGGAAACGAACCTGTTCCCAGTAAGGTGTAGGTAAGAAACAGGAAATAAAAGCTGGTTCCCTGGGGAAGGAGAACTATGGGAGGCTGAGGAGTGCTGCCTCTCGACGTGGAGAAGTAGAGGTTTGGGCAGGGCCCAGTAAATGTGGATCATCTGACCCGCCCCAGTTCCTCCTCTCCAGGAAAAGTTTTGCGTGTAGTGAGAGCTGTTTCTTTGCTATTCTGTACTCTCACTGACTTTGTAAAGGAGGGCAAATAGGGTTTTTGTCTGCTGTTAATTTAGCTCAAGTTAATTGGAATTATTTTCGGTGTGCCTTCAGTTGGTCTTGTGTGCACGGTACCTCTGTGTGAGGGCTTTTCCAGATATCAGATCAATGTAGAAGAAAGGATGATTCTTCTTGTTAGGATTGTGAACGAGTACTCTTAATCTTTCCTTAGCGAACAGGGGAGCCTTTAAGGCATTTTCATAGGATGTTTAGGCATTGTAATTCATATACTCGTTAGACATTTGAATAGTAATAATAAAACCTCTTGAAAACTCAAAGCAGTGTTATGAAAGTTAGACTTTTATATAGAGCCAAGTTCAGAAATCCATAAAATTTGGGGAAACTAACCAAATAACAAATTGATCCAGGATATATGAGGGTGAACTCTATTCAACACACATTTATGGAGCACTTATCTGGGGTTAGATATATGAGTATCAGGCCTCTTGCCTTCGGAGATGGTCCACACTGTCTGTGGAGTGTGTTTCTCAAGATAAATCCACTTCTTACTTTAAAAAAAAGAAAGATGACTTGTCTTTCCTCAAGAACATCAGAGAGACATATTCACATGAAAGTTGTAGTGCTGCGTGTTACATATCCATTTAGAGGAATTTATTGGATGTGAAGGAAATACTACCATTGCCTGGAGAGTCAGGGCAGTCTGCAGGGAGGAGGTATTTGAGTTGGATGTTGGAAAATGAAAAAGCTCCTGGGAAAATGCTGTCTTATTTCTTTATAAGGAATTTGGGCAGGTAAGGGAAGGCATTCCAGTTGGAGACAACAGCATGAACAAAGACATGGTGGAAGTCAGGAAAGAAAATAACCTGACGTTTAAATGTCAGATTTATGTCTGACATAAATAAATAAATAAACAAATAAAACAATTAATTAAAAAGAATTAAAATATTAAATATATTAAAGTATTGAATTATTTTTAATATTTTAAATTATATAAATTTAAATAATTTAAAATATTAAAGTATTAATTTATTTTTAATATTTAATTATATAAATTTAAATAATTTAAAATATTAAAGTATTAATTTATTTTTAATATTTAATTATATAAATTTAAATAATTTAAAATATTAAAGTATTAAATATATTAAATTAAAATATTAAAAACATTAAAATAAGTAAAAATAATGTCTAAATTTGTCTGAAACAAAATGTGTGGTGGGGAAATTGCCTGGAGGTGAGACTGAAAAGAGAGCCGGGAGCCACTGGAACTTTTTAATGTTAGGGAGCAACAGAAGTGCAGATTAAAGTAATGGAGAAATGAGGTAGTGAGACTAACTAGAGTTGTTGCAATTGCCTGAGAGTCTCAATCAAGTGTGGCAGTGGGAATGGAGAGGAGGGGGAATGGATTTTAGAAGTATTTCTGAGATAGCTGCAATAGGACTTAGTGACTGTTTAGGGAGAGACAGTGGGCTAAGCTTTCTAATTTGAGAAATTGGGTAAATGGGAATTTCATTGACCAGGATATGGATTAGAAAAAGTAGAGCAGATTTTTTAAAGGGTTGGGTGGCTATAGAAAGAGGTATAGTGGAGATAGTCTGGTATGCTGAGATCAAGTTAATTGTGGGATATACTCATGGACATGTTAGTAGGCAGCTGGAAATAAGGGGGCCTGGTGAGCTTTATATTTTGACAGTAGTTTGGAGGAAGGACATACATGAAAAAGCTCCTGGGAAAATAATGTCTATTTCTTTATAAGGAATTATTTGAATAGGCACTTCTTTGACTTTATAGTGAGCATCTCAAGGCAGGGACCATACCTCTAATTTTGTGTCCTTTTCCCCTTAGACCATGCTCATGTTATTATAAGGTCTTGGTAAGTGTTAGTTGTTGAGCCAACAGGAAATCAATTTACTTTGCTAGGTTGCTGTTACCTTTTGTGCTTTCCTTTAAGAAGATTATGGGAGTCTTATAATTTTCATTTTATACTTAGGTGGTAGGTGGTATTCATGAGGCTTGTATTGTTCAACGGGAAAGGAGATGAAGAAGGTGTAAGTGACGTTGTGCTGCTTGAGGAAGTTCAGGGCTTGAGCAGGAGATAGACAGTATTAATTTAGAAGAGCTCCTGCTCTTGAGAAGAGGATCTTACAATAAATTCTCATTCTGGGAGCTGTCAGAAAAAGGTGATTTTCAATCACAGCTTCCTGAAATCCTGTCAGTTTGAAGTTGGTTCCTCCTTCTGAAGGTACAAGTGCATTCCTTATGTAAAATCATTTGAAAGGGAACCTGAGATAGTCATGTTTGTTTCAACCTCTTCATCTGTATTGTTAATTTGTGAAAGTAGGCAGACTTAGTAGATTCTGATAGGACCAGATTGAATTCTCTTCTGTGAAGCTATTTCACTTCTAGTAGGTGCAGACTATGACCCATAACCCAGAGTAGAGATTGGGGAAATTGTGGTTTTGCCACTTGCTGCTTAGTCTTGGGCAAGTCACATGAGTTAATTCCACTTTCAGATGTAGGCTAGACACCCACTCTGAGGTAAACACTGTACAGAGCATAGGAACACACACAAGATACGAATGCTGCCCCATAGTGGCTTATGTGCTTATTACTGAATCAGGCTGGTTCTGTCCTAGCATCTAGAAAATAGGGGTGATGCTTGTCAGATGTAAAGTGGGAATGTGATATGAATGAATATCAGTTTGGAGTTTCCATAGAATTTTAACTGAATCTAGATTTTTGAAAGTTTCTACTAGTAAGCACTTGGTTTTTTTTTTTTTTTTTTTTCACTAACACAATGTTCTCATAGAGCTACCAGAAAGATTTAGTGGCTTTACTACTTATTACTTGGGCAAAGTAAAATCCTCACTGTAAAATTATGGTATTAGTACCTACTTCATTTGCTTGTTGTAAGGATTAATACAGTATATTTAAATCACTTAGAATAGTACCAAGTATATAGTAAGTACTCAGTAGTAGTATTTATTATTATATACCACCTTGAGTGGGAGGCTATGCTCTGAAAGATATGGAGAAATGAATGATGAATTCCATCCCCAGTAATTAAAACAAATGATAGAACAAAAGGGTTGTGGCCTGTCGTGGAGCTCTCTATGAAGAGAATTTAGGGGGACTTCCCTGGAGATCCAGTGGTTAAGACTTTGCGCTCCCACTTCAGGGAGGAAGGGTTGGATCCCTGGTTGGGGAACTAAGATCCCACATGCCGTGTGGTGTGGCACACACACACAAAAAAGACCACCTGAAGGGGATTTAGAGAGGCAGCTTTAAGAATTCAGGTCTCACTCTATTTTCGTTTTGGGGATATAAAAGACTTGAAGTGACTAGCAGTAAAAATCCATTAAAACGGAAAGGAGTTACATGCTGGTTTCAGACCCAGTCTGGGGGTAGACTCAGGGGAACCTGTGTCCCATGCTACTGAGGGAAGGTATGCCAGGGAGTCATGTGGATCATGAATTTGTGAATCCAATTAGTGAGCTAAATCCTTGGGGCCTTCAGAAAGGAAGAGGCGATACAGGAGCTAGTTTGAGAAATGAAATGTGGGGATTTGAAGGTAAAAATGCCTTGCATTATAGTTTTACACCGGAGTGTGGGATGCCTTGCAGAAGGACATAGGGAGCAGATAACTTTTGCCTAAAAATTAAAAACACAAACCCTCACATTTAGAGGAACTAGGGAAATTTTTTAGGAGAGTCAGAAGACTCTTTTTGACTTGGTAAACTTATTGTCTCCTTTTGTGTATTGGGTGAATGTCTCATGATCAGAATGGAGTGGTGTTATCTGACTCAGCCACAACTTCTGGGCAGACAGGATTTTCATCTCCTTCAGGAGGCACTGTGGACTACTATAGTCAATGTGTTCCACAGTGATCTTTCACAGATGGGCAAACAGGGGCTAAGATCCTGAGAAAAGGGGATGGTGTTGGTGAGTAATACGGGGAGAATGAGGTGGAAGTAGCTGAGGATTGCTCCAGTGCCTGTCCCGGAGATGGCAGAAGTGTTATTCATCCTCTCAAAAGTCTGTCCAGATGCTACTTTCTTTTGAAGGCTTGTTTTAAGGCTTAGATGAGTACTTCTCAAACTTTAGTGAACATCAGAGTTATTTGGGGCAGGGTCTTTTAACCTCGGCATTATTGACTTATTGGCCCAGATAATTCTTTGTGTGGTAACTGTCCTGTACACTTTAGGGTGTTTAACATCATCCCTGGCCTCTACCCAGTAGATGCCAGTGGTACCTCCCCTCCCAGTTGTGACAACCCAAAATAGCTCCAGGCATCAATAGATGTCCCTTGGGAGCCAGAATTACCCCAATTCAGAACCACTGACTGGGGTCATTATTAGAATGTAGACCTCTAGTTCTTATCTTGAAAAGTCTGTTTCAGTAGTGGGGAGAGGGGTTTAGGAGTCTACATTTCCAGGAGGCATGCCAGGAGATTCTGGAACGTGTGATCACAGCTCTGCAGGGGTAAAGCATCTTCATCTTTCTGTCTTGTTTTATAGTATCTTTCCATTCATAATCAAGTTTCAGTGGAGAATTACCCTCAGAGCACTGACTTAGCTCAGTTAAGTTGTGTTAGTCGCTCA